CCTGTGTACTGGCTTTAATAATAATAATAATAATAATAATAATAATAATAGTAATAGTAATCCTATTTAATTGTTTCCTTCTAAAGTAGTACAGTAGTACTGTTTGATGTTAATGGGGAAGGATACCTGTGCACATCCAACCAAGGAAGGCAAATGGATGATAGTTAATTTGTAATTGTGAAGAAAGAAGGAAGGAAGGAAGGAACCACACAGCAGCTCCTAAGGTGCATTGGATACTCACACACGCTTCTAGTGTCAACGTGGCTTGCATTAACTTTTCAAATTTCATGCCTGGCTGAGCAGTTGAAGTAACAGTGGGACCACATCCCTTCCCAGGCTTATGAATCCACGTCTGATGGAGTGTGTGTGTGTGCAAACCGAGACTTCTCCTGCAAGGAAGTTGTCACTTCACTTCCCTCTTCAAGCCCCTCCTGGTTCTAGGAGAAAGTAAGACAGGGGACGGCAGGGATTCATCCTGTCCACCCCTGGCCTGGACAGCCTCTTCCTCTGTTTCTGATAGTGTTACCTCGGGTTACATACGCTTCAGGTTACATATGCTTCAGGTTACATACTCCACTAACCCAGAAATAGTACTTCGGGTTAAGAAATTTGCTTCAGGATGAGAACAGAAATTGTGTAGCAGCAGTGCGGCGGCAGCAGGAGGTCCCATTAGCTAAAGTGGTGCTTCAGGTTAAGAACAGTTTCAGGTTAAGAACGGACCTCCGGAACAAATTAAGTTCTTAACCCGAGATACCACTGTATGTCCTGTGCCCCCACCTTCATCTCTGACTGACCAGACCCTTCTACTCCAGCTCTCTCCTGGGTCAGCCTCTGGTCCCCACCCCCCCACTTCCATCACACTCATCAGAGCCCTGCCAGTCTTTGGCATGGGAGCTGTCACACAAAATAATTGATTCTTCACAGAGGCATTTTTAAAAGTGCAGGCTCCACAAATTGAAGTGGTTGAGTGGACACGGATGGGGTAAGGTTATCCTTCAGTTGGGACGCGGGTGGCACTGTGGTCTAAACCACTGAGCCTCTTGAGCTTGCTGATCAGATGGTTGGCAGTTTGAGTCCCATGACAGGGTGAGCTCCCGTTGCTCTGTCCCAGCTCCTGCCAACCTAGCAGTTCGAAAGCACGCCAGTGCAAGTAGATAAATAGGTACCGCTGTAGCAGGAAGGTAAATGGTGTTTCCATGCGCTCTCGTTTCCATCACTGTGTTCTGTTGCACCAGAAGCAGTTTAGTCATTCTGGCCACATGACCTGGAAAAACTGTCTGTGCACAAACGCCGGCTCCCTCAGCCTGAAAGCGAGATGAACGCTGCAACCCCTTTGACTGGACCTTTACCATACCTTTACCTGGTCCCATATTGTTGAGGGCTTTATATACTAATAGTAACATCTTGAACTTTTCCCTGTAGCAAATCGGTAGCCAGCACAGATCTTTGAGCAAAGGTCTTTTCAGCAATACCTACATCATGTTTTGGAGCAGATCTACTTTGTCCTTGGACCCCTTTTTTTATTCAACACCATGCCTCCACCAGCCATTATTTCCTTCATTTTTCAACTTGCTGTCCATTTTGTCCTGTTCACCACCTTCTCCTTTGCCCAGCCTCCCCAACATGCATGTATTTATAGAAGACAGTGCATCTGTGCCCAAGTCTCGCCCTTGGGATATAATTATAATTGATCTTATGCGAAGGAATAAAATATCTTGACATCAGATTGCAAATGCATTTGCCACTATTCTCACCCTCATTTTTATTTAGCATGCTTGAAGAAATGACAAATGTTCGCATACTTCGGTGGGTTAAACTTTTATGAATGATAAATTAATGTATGACAGGCACAACAGGGGATAAAAAGTGGAAGCCAACTTTAATTCTTCTCATCCGTCAGTATTTTATGGCACCATAATTGAAGTTCCCCCTACCTCTACTTTTGAGTCCTTAACCCTCTCTGCTGCAGAATAGTTTGAGGTCAGTCACGTGGAATTCAGGTTACAATTATCGTGAGGTTTGAATCCCATAGAATTCAAACTGAAACACAATTCAAGAAACAAAAAAGGCAACAAAAATACTATTGAAAATCAATGCTGATATTTAATGTGATGGATGTGCCATCTCCTGTCTGCAACCACAAATCCATGGATGCGAGCAAAATTTAAAGTGTTGGTGCTGACCTTTAAGCCCTAAATAGCCTTGGCCCTGTATGCTTGAAGGAGTGTCTCCATCCCCATCATTCAGCCCAGACACTGAGGTCCAGCTCCAAAGGTCTTCTGGTGGTTCCCTCATTGCAAGAGGTGAGGTTATAGGGCATTTTCGGTAGTTGTGCCCACCCTGTGGAATGCCCTCCCGGCAGCTGTCAAACAGATAAACAGCTAAGTGACAAAGACATCTGAAAGCAGCCCTGTTCAGGGAAGTTTTTAGTTTTCAATGCTCTAACTGTGTTTTTACTATTTTTTTTATTGGCAAACCAATTAGATGCACGGCATATTATTATTATTATTATTATTATTATTATTATTATTATTTAGAAGTTTGTGTACCACTGGCGGTCCATGAACCACATTTTGGGAAGCCCTGGTATGACAATCCTAAATAGGAGGGACTGATGGTCTGACTCAGTTCCCTATGTACCTATAGTTTCACTTCCATGTGGTCAGACACTAAGGCAATGAAATCCTAACTGACTGACCATATCTATTCTGAACTGCCAGGATTGAGCTTCCTATTACTAATACAGTGTATCTTAAAACTTTTGAACACCACAAAAGGCAATCTCCAAAATGAATTGTCGACCAGGAGGGAAAATATCTCATGTACAGTAATAAAAAATGGAACATTTATCCTCGTGAGTTACAGTTGTGGAAATAACTTATTTTATCCCTTAACTTTGAGGCCCTCTGAGTAGTATAAATACAGTTATACAGCACCAGATGGAATAAAGAGCTACACGTAAACCGTTATTTATGCTTATGAAGTGTCAGCTGTTTAAAGAACCCGCTTTTGCTATTGCTAGAGATCCAGTTGCTGTTTTGGAAAAGACTGTCAACTGGGGAGTAAATGTTATTTTTTCCCAAAATGTAGAGCATCAGAAAAAAGTAAGCCTAATATGAACTTGAAAACTATAATTACTGTTATTCACCAAAGCCTTTGGTTGCACATACCTTCTATGATGTGTGCATATGCCAATGATGGGTTGATTTGCATAAGCATAGCATGCACATCACTTGATTTCTTACCTTATTATTAATTGCCAAGTTATGTCTTGATGGTCAATGTGTGAACTGCTTCCCTTAGAAAACAGTCGATTTCAGGTGTTGTCAAACGATAACGAATGTGCAGTTTGTAGCATTTGTTTTGTGACTGTTCACATACAGGCCCTCGGATGATGATGCAGTTATTCAACCAGGGTTGAGGTTCCCCACTCCACCAGCAATCATTTGCAAATACTTTGCATCCTTTGACTATTTAGCTGAACAGCTGTGGAGTGGAGTTGACATGGAAACTACCAGATGAAGAGTAGACAAAAGCAGAATGCAGGAAGCTTGCAATGTCCTGAGCCAAGAAGAACTGAGATATCCAGGAATAATGTAGTTGCAAAAAACAACAACAAACATTTGGAGCATATCTCCAGTAGACAGCTTTTGCTGGAATATATATGCTGAGGAAGCTCTCAAAATACCAGTGGAAGCCTACTTGAAATGTAATCAACTTCCTGGATGGGAAAAGTGGCTATTTTTTCAAGTTTTGTAATACTTGGCATATTTCCCAAATATGACTTCTTGTTTAAAAAGATTAAGCAATGTGGCCCTCTTTCAGCCACTCTGTGACACCTCCTTCAGAGCTGAAGGGATAGATTTGAAACCAGTTTGTTTCTTTGCAGATATACTGACAGTTCCCCCTGCTGTCTTGACAAGGCAAGCAAGGCTTGGAAGCTGAACGTTGTTCTTGCTGCCTCACATATTAAGCTGCCTTATAGCAAATGTTACTGTGAGTCCATCTATCTCAGGACTAACTCTCCCAAATAGTGGGAACAGTAAGAAGAGCCCTGCAGGATCAAGTCAATGTCCTAGTGTAGTCTAGCATCCAGCTGACACAGGAACCAACCAGATGCCTATTGGAAGTCTACAGGCAGGACCGGAGTGCAAGAACACTCTCCTCACTTCAACAGTGGGGGTAGAACATAGCCATTATGCATACCAACCACTGATAATCTTACCCTCCATGAAATTGTTTCCTCCTCTTGCAAGAACAGAAGAGTCCTGCTGGATCAGGCTGAAAACCCATCCAGAAAGAGACCTTCTGATCTCTGCTACTTTGCATTCATTTTTAAAGTAGAAATTAAGTCCGAGACCTTAATGGACAGCTAGTGCTCTACTGCTGGATTATTGACTCAGGGCAATGTACGCTGCACTGTGAGGATGCATCCTCTTACTTCCTACTTTCATCTAACCAGGTATACAAAAAATGTTGGGTGATGCTTTCATTTTAAAAAGAGATTTTATAAATATATCTTTATATTTGTCTCGGGGACAATGAGCTACGACAACAATGGAGATCCCACTCTTAGAAGAACAGCAAAGGTAAAGGTAAAAGGTAAAGGACCCCTGGATGGTTAAGTCCGTTCAAAGGTACCTATGGGGTTGCAGCGCTTATCTCGCTTTCAGGCCAAGGGAGCCAGCGTTTGTCCACAGACAGCTTTCCAGGTCATGTGGCCAGCATGACTAAACCACTTCTGGCGCAATGGAACACTGTGACTGAAACCAGAGTGCATGGAAATGCTGTTTACCTTCCCACCACAGCAGTACCTATTTATCTACTTGAACTGGTGTGCTTTCGAACTGCTAAGTTGGCAGGGGTTGGGATAGAGCAATGGGAGCTCACCCCATTGCGGGGATTCGAACCGCTGACCTTCCGATCAGCAAGTCCAAGAGGCTCAGTGGTTTAGACCACAGTGCCACCCACGTCCCAGAAGAACAGCATGATGATACAGAGGGGCTACAGCTCAGAGGCAGAGCATCTTCTTTGCATGCAGAAGGTCCCAGGATTGATCCCCAGTATCTCCAGGGAGGCTGGGAGAGATCTCTGACAGTCTTGTCAATACTGAACTAGGTGGACCAGTAACACAACTTCCCTTGTTCCTCTTCAAGCTGATGTGCTGCATTCCTTCTGCAAAGGATGGGATTACACAGCACAAGGAATGTTAGGCTGCTGCATAAAATGGAGTGACCACGTAAACTGTCCATGTTCCTAACATGTAACAAAACTTAGGCCGTGCCTTGATGTCAAAGCATGTGCATTTCCTTGCCCCATGGCACATAACTGAGGACCACAGAAGGCAGAGCATGAAAACAATGACCTTATGCATTGCAACAACTGCTAAGTGGATTGAGATGTTGTGGCAGTGTTGAACGTGACACAGTGGTGATTGTTTTCAGCACCATGTTCCTTCTATGAGGTTGTTGTAATCGCTCTGAAGCATACGGTATATGTGAAACATGTTTATTTTCATTGCAGATATTTGTTGGTTTTCTATACAAGAATCAACCATCTAATTCATCTCTTTGCTATGGGATAATAGTTTTGTGATGCCTATTTACTAGTGGCTGACCTGATAAAGTTTTTGTATGACCAGAACATGGATTTGCACCTTGCTGGAACATTACTCCCCTCATTGATCAAGCCTCCTTTTCTTGGATTTTTTACTTTATTTCTCACTCAACTGATTTACCATACCAAATAATCCCTCTCCCTCTTTGGTGTTTGCATTCTTCAAATATTTATAGGGCTTATGTCCTGACTCTGTCATCTCTTGCCTGACTGTACAGAATCAGCTGCTTCTTAAAGCTTTCCTTGTACAACAATTCATCCAGCCCACTCACACAATTATTTGTGCCTCTTCTCTGAAGTTCCTCAACTTTTGTCAATATCCTGCTGGTAACGAGATGCTTAGAAAAGCACTGAGGGCTATCATTTCCCTGCTTTGTGGAATTTTACTTTTAGATTTTATATACAGCCATGGTTTCTGTTGCCTTTTTGTTTTTAGTTATACTGTGCTACGAATGGTTACTTACATATTTAGCAAAAACTCTGTTTAATTTGCTGCTTCCCATCTGCTTAATCTAATTGCTCCTTACATGCTTTCTTTACATAAATATTCTCTCCCTTCCTTGTATTCTACAACAAACTTCAGGAGCCTCTTTTTTTAATGCTTTATTACAGAATTATAGAGTTGTAGAACTGTAGAGCTAGAACCAACCACAAGAACCCTGTAGTCTAAACCCCTGCAATGCAGGAATTACAGCTTACAAATACCTGACAGATGGTCATCCAGCTTTTCTTTAAAAAATCCAGTTTAAGGGGAGTCCACCAACTTCCACTGTAGTCCATTCCACTGTTGCACATGTACTTCTTCCTAATGTTTTAGTTGGAATCTCTTTTATTGTAATTTGAATCCATTGGTTCAGGTCCTACCTTCTGGAGCAGCAGAGAATAAGCTTGCTTCATCATTGAATATATTTGGTGATTTGATCATCTCTCCATCTTCTCTTCTCCAAGTTAAACATACCCAGCTCCTTCAGCTGTTCCTCATAAGGCTTGGTTTCCAAATCCCTTGAACATCTTGGTGGCCCTCCTCTGTACACAGTCCAGCTCATCAATATCTTTCTCAAACTGGCAAGTGATTATGGGTGTTGTTGTCCAGCAATATCTTGAAGATCAGGTTTTCCCCATCCCTGATATATATGAAGTAGCAGCTATGAGAATAACCATAAACTGGCTGCAGTCAGTGCTACTTCCCTTTGTGGGGGGAAATTCACTACTAATATCACAGCTCCCTACTCAGCCACCAAGATAATTTGCAACTTGGTGTACAACTGCCGAGCATGTAGCATCTCGTATTAAACATGTGTCAGAACTTCTGTGTGTGTGTCCCCCCCCATAATAATCCTGTGAAGTTTGACATTCACTCTATTTTCAACTTACCTTTTGAAGCATGCCAAAAGAAATTTCAAAAGTGTTTATAAGAGAATGGCAACTGTCTCTCAGCTGCAATGAGTTGGAGGAAAAATCAAAGCCAATGGCTGTGTGATTTTTACTTTTTTTTAAGAAAGAGGGCAGGTTCAAACAGGCACGCAGTATGAGCAATCAGGCAGACAGCATGATCTGAGTTCCACTCTGCTAGCATGGATTAGAAGTGACTTTAGAGAACTTGCTGAAGTGGGAAAAGGAAAGCCAAAGGAAAATGTCGTGTGCAGATGCCATCTCCAGTGTGACAGAGACTATCCACCAGCAGGATATTCACTAAAGCATTTAACCAAATGGTGGGTGCATTCATCCTGTTAGGATTTGGGCCTTTTGTGATTTGCTGGATCACGGGCCATTAGTGTTCTTTAAGGGTGATTTATTTTATTTTTAATTTGATTGACTGGGATGCTCCCTGTGAGGTGGTGAGCATCAAGCATGTTAGTGGCTGTACCTGACTCTCCAGGTGAGAAATGTGGAAAGAAATGTGTTTGCACTGTTCTTGGTTGTTTTGGTTTATTCCTGCTTTTCTTTTTTTTATAATAAATTTTATTAATTTTCCATACAATTTTCCATTTTTATCCAAAATACATCCAATTGTCTCTTTTTTGAACTTCCTTCAGCGTCTCTGACAATAATCCGTATTTATAACTTTAGTTACACATTCCCTTCTTTCGTATTGCCATTATACTTCCCTTCTCCACTATTCCATATAAACAATACAGTGGTGCCTCGCAAGACGAAATTAATCCGTTCCACGAGAGTCTTCGTCTAGCGGTTTTTTCGTCTTGCGAAGCAAGCCCATTGACGGATTAGCGCTATTAGCGCTATTAGCGGTTTAGCGGCTATTAAAGGCTTAAAGGCTTAGGGGATTAGCTGCTAAAAGGCTATTAAAGGCTATTAAAGGCTTAGCAGATTAGATAAAGGGGGAAAGCGAAAAAAATCTCAAGACTCGCAAGATATTTTCGTCTTGCGAAGCAAGCCCATAGGGAATTCGTCCTGCGAAGCAACTTCAAAACGGAAAACCCTTTCGTCTAGCGGTTTTTCCGTCTTGCGAGGCATTCGTCTTGCGGGGCACCACTGTACTTCTCTATTTTTACAGTGCCTCTTGAAATCCCACTAGCGTTGTGTTCATGCCACATGTATTTTTCAGATAATCTATGAACTTTCCCCAGTCTTCGATGAACTTTTGGTCTTTAGTATATCTGATTTTCCCAGTTAATTTATCCAATTCCGCATAGTCTGTCAATTTCAGTCTCCATTCTTCTATCGTCGGTATTTCCTCTTGTTTCCATTTCTGGGCCAACAAGATTCTGGCTGCCGTTACTGCGTATTGGAAGAGTTTATAGTCTTTTCTTCTTATATCCTTTCCTACAATCCCTAAAAGAAAAGCTTCCATTTTTTTTTACAAAGGTATATCTTAACATTTTCTTCATTTCATTATATATCATTTCCCAAAAGCTTTTCACTTTCTTACATTCCCACCACACATGAAAAAACGTCCCTTCTTTTTCGTTACATTTCCAACATTTGTTATACATCTTAGTTTATTCCTGCTTTTCAGATGGCTGTTGGATTTTTAGATTGGTAATAGTTCTTGAATGATTAGGTTAGAATTCCTGATCTATATGGCTACATGCAAGGACATTTTTTTTGGGGGGGGAGAGGGGGTCATTTCTTGAATGGCCTATGTACATTCAATAGATTATGCCAATAGACACCACACGTGCAAGTCTGTGTGCATCATCTGAGACCCTGCAGCAGGATTCCTGATTCTGGGGGCTGCATTCAGACATCCCTTTCTTCAATTTCTCCTGATATTTCCTGACTTGATAATTTCCACATTTTATGTGATAAATGACATAAAAGTTATTTCTGGGAATCTAGTAGAATCTAGTGGAAGTTTAGCATGCATTTTTATGCTAATTGCTTTAGAGAGAAAAAACCCACCACTTGCAATCCCTTTAACTTGAATATTTGTGGGTGTTTTGCACTGTCGTGTTCCCCTGGTTTTCATGAATCATGCCAATATCACTCATACGATCAAATTTGGACTGGAATTCTAGCATGCAGTTCTTTCCTGCTGTTTTCATGGGTGGATCATGGGGAGACAGGAATGCACCTGTGCATCCAAGATGGCAACATATCCGTTGGTGTCCACCATTGTGTCACACTATGCTCACTGGTGTACATGAAATTTAGCCCAACATGGCAGCATGTTGATCAAAAAGCCGCAGTTACATGATGCAATAGAAACTGGGACAAAAGTACTAGCATTATAACCAGGAAAATGTTTTTCTGGGTCATGTGGCCAGCATGACTAAGCCGCTTCCGGTGAAACCAGAGCAGCGCACAGAAACACTGCTTACCTTCCCGTGGGAGCGGTACCTATTTATCTACTTGTGCTTTTGGTGTGCTTTCGAACTGCTAGGTTGGCAGGAACTGGGAACGAGCAACAGGAGCTCACCCCCTCGCGGGGATTGAAACTGCCGACCTTCTGATCGGCAAGCCCTAGGCTCAGTGGTTTAGACCACAGCGCCACCCGTGTCCCACTCATTGTATAAGGTAAAGGTAAAGGGACCCCTGACCATTAGGTCCAGTCGTGACTGACTCTGGGGTTGCGGCACTCATCTCGCTTTATTGGCCAAGGGAGCCGGCGTACAGCTTCTGGGTCATGTGGCCAGCATGACTAAGCCACTCCTGGCGAACCAGAGCAGCGCACGGAAACGCCGTTTACCTTCCTGCCGGAGCAGTACCTATTTATCTACTTGCACTTTGACATGCTTTCGAACTGCTAGGTTGGCAGGAGCAGGGACCGAGCAACGGGAGCTCACCCCGTCGCAGGGATTCGAACCACCAACCTTCTGATTGGCAAGTCCTAGGCTCTGTGGTTTAACCCACAGCGCCACCCGCGTCCTCATTATGTGTATAATTAGAGCCAAATTTATAATCAAGGAACCTGTGATAGAATTGTCAGGGCTAGAGCTGTTGTCTGACAACCTGTTCACTTACCTTAATTGGTCAGGCAGCATTGTGGGATGAC